ACCATCAGCCATGAAGAGGGACCAGCTTTGATCGAACAGCAAACCATTCACCTCAACACTGTTTTCAAGAGATGTCCATCAGTCATTGAAACAATGGATGTGTACAACACTCTTAAAGACATAGGATTTGAGTACGGGCCCAACTTCAAACAACTTGCTGACATTCATTACGGACAAGAATTCAAGGAAGCAGTGACCAGTCTCAGGATTCCAGAGGGAGTACTCAACCATCTGTACGAGTATTGCTTGCACCCAGTGGTCCAAGACTACTTCTCGCAAATGTCCTCAGTTTTAGCATTAGTTTCTAGCACCGTCAGGCCTGGATTTCCCTCTGCAATTGGTAATATGGTTATATCTGCACCTCCCTGTAAAGATATGTTCATGTATATGAGAATGACCAAAGAAATGCCAGACTACTTTGAGGTTTGTGGTTGTTTCACTGGCAAAGATGGTCATGTGTTGATCGAGCTGAGGGATGTCAGAATTAATTTTCTGAGAGGATACGCACAGATCAGGGAATCATGTTTCTTTCATAACCAGAAGATTGGCATTCTTGCTGAGAGCAATTTCCCCAGTAGAATCAAGGCTTTGGTCTTTGAAGACACCTTGGGTATCGCTAAAGGTTTGAAGCCATATTTGCACCCAAAATCTGTATTCGTTTCTCCACCTGATTTAACAAAAATTTCAGCCTTGCAGGTCCCAGGATTGCCGTTGAAGTCTCCTTGCAGTGCAGCAGACATGGAACTGGATGAGATCCTGTTTATCTGGGGAGTTCAGAATATTAGTCCCCTCCAATCTGAAGTCATTCTGCAGTCCTTGGTAGACAGCTGTGAACTTTACCGTCAGACTGTTTTATCTTTAAGAAGCTGCAGTCGTGCATGTTCCATCCGTGTCATTACGTGCAGGTCAGCAGAAGGGACAGTTGAAAGTATAAGTCCTGGATTTGTGTTATCTGGCATGACAAGGGCATGTGCTGCGGAGTTGTCAGGCATCTCTTTCCAGCTCATTGACCTTTCCACAGTGTCAAGAGAGGATATAGAAGCACTGGCTCATGTGCTTAACTCATATAAGACCCAAGAGTGCCCAGAAGTCTTCATCAGCACGGGGAAAGTTTACTCTGCTGTGATAACTCATACTCCTGTCACCACAATTAGGGAAGTGAAGGCTGAATCAAAAACCCTACAGCCCCGGGATTTCACCTTGCAGACAACCAATGCCTACATGATGACTGGCTTATCAGCTTTGCCTTCAGCAAGTTTAGTCCACACTATTGAGGGGGAAAGCATTGAAGTTCAGCTGAGTAAGGTATGTGTGCACTCATCAGATTATTTTCCAGTTAGTACTTCAGAACTAACTTTTGGTCAGACAATGTACTGGAACAAGCATACAACCCAGAACCACAGTCTCATGGCACTTGACTTCAGTGGGATAATTACGGCTGTAGGAAAGGATGTCAACAAACTTAAAGCGGGAGACCATGTTATCTGTTGTTACCCTGTAAAAGCAACGTCCAAAGTTGTCCTCCCTGAAGATGTGTGCTTCAAAATAAAAAGGCTTCCATTCCTAAAGGATGCTCCCATGTGTTTCATACATTGTCCTGATTTGGGAGATATTGCAGTGTGCATTACCCAAGACCAAACAAGCAAAGGTTGGGCATTTTTTCTGCTGTTCATGACTCAGCTCTGGTCAACTTACTGACACTCATAGCAAGTAAATCAGGCCGGATTGTTTTTACAGAGACTGAGATAAGTGGATTAGTCCAAAATGCAAAGCCGTGTCTTCTTTTTGTGATTCTTCCCCCATACAATTGCTCACTTTTGACAGAGATTGTCAGTGTTGTCAATGCAGATCACATCATTGCAGTATGTGGCATCCGTGAGCCATGGTACTCGACAATAGATGTAATTCCGAGAGATAGTGAGAGAACCTGTTTCCAGACTCTTGAGATGTCCAAAATCTTCCAGAAATCACGTCTTAAGGCGCATAGAGCTCGGCTACAGAAGTGGCTAAAGGCACTTGCACAAAGCATGCCCGTCAATACAAAGCAGTACTTTTCAGATGGTGCTACCTGAAGGTATGCCTTCTCAGTCTGTAGAGCATTCTGGATCTTATTTCAGTGCAAGAACTCTAGACTTGATAGCTCTGGCCAGTGATGACTCTACAAGCAAGATGTCTGCCATCCCTTTGCTTCCAAGAACAAAGCAGCTGTTCTCAACGAGAGGTGTGTACATAGTTACAGGTGGTCTCTCTGGTTTGGGATTTGAAACTGTTAAGTTCATTGCCCATAGGGGTGGAGGATGCATTGCCACTCTCTCAAGGAGTTCACCATCTGAAAAGGTACAAGAGAACATAAGCAGTCTCCAGAGGAGATACGGGGTAAGAATTGTCACTCTTCAGTGTGATGTCTCTGTGTCAGGGCAGGTGATGGAAGCCATTACTTTGATTGGAAAACATTTTTTCTCTTGTCCAGTCAGGGGGGTGTTCCACAGTGCTGCTCTTCTACATGATGAATTACTGGAAACTCTTGATAGATCTCTTTTCCAAAAAGTCCTGCAACCTAAAGTCTGTGGTGCTCTTAATCTTCACTTTGCCACTCTGCACAGCCAAACACTCGATTACTTTGTCTGCTATTCCTCAATCTCCCTTTTCATTGGAAATGCTGCACAAGCTAACTATGCAGCAGCTAATTCCTTTCTGGACGCTTTTTGTCACTTCCGACACAATATTGGACTTGCAGGACAGTCAATCAATTGGGGACCCCTTAAACTAGGCCTGCTAATGAACAAAGACCATTTTCAAAAGTTTCTGGAAACAAAAGGGCTAATGATCATGGATGTGTCAGAGATTCACCAAGCACTGGAGCACTGCCTGTTAGATAACTATCCCCAGCAGGTGGTCTGCAAATTCAATTTCAGGAATCTGAAAAACCATGTCCTCTCTCAGAATGTGTCTCTAAAGTTCGCCTGTCTGCTTTAGTGGAGGAAGGACTGAAAAACAAGGTTGTTGAGGACTCCAGGATAAATGTTCAGTTATCGGACGTTGACTGTGTTAGAGGGATTCTGACTGAAATTTGCTGTGTTGATACTGATGATCTCAGTGATGAAACTGCGCTCACTGCACTAGGAATTGACTCAATGTTAGCCATGACGTTGCAAAACCGCTTGTTTCAAGAGATAGGTGTGAACATTCCTCTTGTTGTTTTGCTTGATCCAAACAGTACACTGTCCTCATTGACTGAATTCATAAAACAGAGTACTGATGAGGACTGTGATATTTCTGTGAACCTGTAATGTATACAGTTGTCTTCCTTTTCTGCCACCTTGTAGTAAATTGTACATAGTGAAGAAGATGGCTAGTCAAATTTTACTGAAATGTTTGTGAATGAAATGTGGCTTGAATTTTAATTTTTCTTTAAGTATGCTTGTTTTGTGTTTAGCTAAACCTCTTATGAAAAATGCTATATTGCTTAATTGTAGCAAGCTTAACCACAATATTGCATTGCCATTATGTGTGACAAATTGTATTGCAAATTACATGTCAAACAATAAACATCCATTTTGATTATATTTGATTTAACCTATACTTTTCCAGCCCTAACAATACTAAGGAGTCAGAGATCAAAGGTCAGGTATGTTTCATCTTTTTTTCTGCCAAATGTGTAAATCCACTGAGGCTTTTAAGCAAACATGTGCAGCAACAGGCTTACAACATGGTAAACTAAACAAAGAGTAGTTTTGAATAGAAAATTATATTCTCCCTAAAATGGTAATACCCTGCCATTCATAAAAAAATGAAAAATACTAAACAAAACTGTTGTAAAGAATGAAAATATTCACAGTTCTGCTAATCCTTACTCGGGCAATCCTCTTTTCTCAAGAAAACACAACAGCATGGGCACTACAGAAGGAAAGGGATTGTGTGTCTTTCAAAAGACATCAAATCATTTTGTAGCTGTTTATATCAGCCAATAAAAATAGTTAAAATGTGTGTATTTAGTTATGTCTTTAATAGGCTTTTACACATTCAACAATCCATAAGAAAACATTGCAAACCCCTCATAAAAACAGCGAAGTATGGTTACATATGTGCATTCCGTTTGTTTTTTTATTTCACAAAAAGTAAGAAAACTAAATGATTGTGCTTTTTGTACATAACTAAATAGAAATATTCACATATCAAGATAAAAATAAGACATTTAAACATTTTCTTAGAGATAGGGGCTCATTCATGAAACACAATAATACATTTCTGTCAATCATTCAAAAATCCATTCTTACATAAATTGTTGCATTGAATTGAATCTGACAATTTACTGAAGAATGGTTTCATGAATGACTTTGTTACAACAATTTTTTTGTTGTTGTTGTTTTTTTTGGGATTTTAACAGACTTTTTTTGCAGATTAATACAGTCCATGGTGAGCTAATGCTATAGCTGTTAGGCCACTAAGTCCCAAAAGCCCTAAAAAGTCCAAAAATCATTGGCCCAGATATACAGTGGGTACGGAAAGTATTCAGACCCCCTTAAATTTTTCACTCTTTGTTATATTGCAGCCATTTGCTAAAATCATTTAAGTTAATTTTTTTTCCTCATTAATGTACACACAGCACCCC